GGGGGGGGGGGTCGAAAGAGACTGAAATCTTGCAGAGCCACCGGCCGTCCGCAGGAACCTGCGCCGGACCCCGAAGTGAAACACTCAGTAGCTAATTCCTAGCCAGGAATCGCCAGCAAATTGAGCACTTGACTTAATGCTACTCTGACTGGTTGTTCTGTGGTTGAACTTTCCGGGTGTCGAAGCTTCTCTTGAAGCTTTCCAATGTTTGGACCACAAACCTACGAGGAAGCTGGGGCTCAACTCAAAGTTCGTTCATAGAACACCGGCAGCACCAGGGCATGAGCTGCAAATGCTGAATGCGTGCAACCCCAAGCCGTCGGGGTACTGCCTATACTCATGAATGGATCCTCTCCTGCGTACCCGGCTCGGCCTTGCCTTAACCACTCTTATGGGTAGGACTCCAAAAAAGAATAAAGATACAAAGTCGATGGGAGAGCGTGAGAAAACTCCGACTGCACTCTGCGGTTGAGCCTCCTGGCTGCCTCTCCATGCACTCTGCGGTTTTCGCATATCCGCCCTGAGGCGCCTTGTCCTTAGCCGGTCAGACAGGTGCAACAACCTGGTCATACCCGTGCGGTCAGACTTGCAGGTGTGTCTGCATATATATATATACATACATACATACTTCCCAATACATATACATACTAGCTATAAGTACAAGGGTTTGAGTTGATCATGATTCTACTGAGTTCATGCTGCTGCACAAGATCAAAAGATCATAACCTCGTAACAACTGAGGATTACTACACTCATGACCAGAATCTGTCGGGCTCCACTGCTAAAGTTGAGATGACACCGGCGCAGGGCCCTCAATGAAAGCTCAAGACACCCAAACCCTCGCTGACACTGTGACCATCCGGGAGTGGCTTACTCTGTTTCTGGATTGTTAGAGCTTCAATGGCTTCGGCTTCGTACCTGCATGCCTTTGACGGGGGCCGGCCCTCCACCCCCCTCCAGGCACGAGTCTGAGAAGGGCATGGAAGGGCAGCGTCCAGGCCAGGAGGTCCAGTAGCCTCGAGGAAGGATCTTGGAGTATCAAGGCCCAACAAAACGAGTGCCCCATCGCTTTCAACCTGCCTCCATCGTAGCCGGAGATGCCCGTGGGGTTCGGCTGGCACCCCACCTGCGACGACTGTGGCCCTAACCGCTATGCCTTCCGTTGCCGACTTCAAACCTGTCCCTCAACAGCATCTTCGATCTTGCATGCACCGATCTACGGAGAGCGCGGCACCGGGCAACTCCCACATGCGTGCAGTCACTCGGCAAGACACCTCGTACCCGACCGTCTCCCAAATTTCGTTGCCTTGGGTCTGCACCGGAGACCATACTAGGTTTTGGAGTTCCAGACTCTCGAGGGGTGGAGTTCTCAGGGGTCGTAGAGGCATATCCCGGTGCTTGATTTCTTTGGGGAAAAGGGGGGGGGGGAGAAAATCTCGGACGTTTCAGAAGCACGATGCGCTTTCTTGCGCGCTCAATAACCCAGCCTCGACCAGTCGGAGCTTGAGAAGAGCCCTGTTTCTCCAAATTATAGGGAGTTTGCATACCTGCAGAAGTGACCTCACAAGTGTCCCCATGATTTCAGAGCGAGGCACATTTTTCGACGTGGTTTGGCATTCCGAACGTAGCTTGGCCATAGTCGAACTGGATGAACTGCCTTGCATCTTCGCACAGTGCCCCTCTGCGACTCGCGGTGACACCGACTGGCTGACCAATCACCTCTTAACATGAGAAGGGAAACCAAGAAAAACTGCTTGCAGCCTCGTCAAAGGTCAGATGCTAGAAACTGAATTGACGACCGGATGCATCGTTCGCGTGACGGCTGTAACAGGAACCAGTGCGCGACGTAACGGCAACCACGTTTCAGGAACCGACCACTATGTAACAGGAACGAGGGGGGACCATGTAACAAGAACTGGTGCGGGGCTAGTAACTGTTAACAGCGAGAGTTGAAGGGAAACCAGCCGGAAATCGAAATCGAAACCGGGTTCGTGTTGAGACTTTCAGGTTTCAGTCGTAGCAACAGCTGTCAAGAGGAACTTAGCTTTACACCCTTCAAAGCAAAAACCGCCAGAATACTTAAAACCCTTGGGGCAAGATGATTGACAGGATTACTTCCATTATAGTATGACCAACCTTAAAACGACGGCAAGTTTAAACAATTACAGGGAAGACATCCCCTCCTCATGCACAGTTGCTTTTGTCCTGCTACTTTAAATGTTCCACGTCGTGCTATAACACATTGAGCTTGTTTATCAAATCGTTCAACATTATCAAGTCTCGATTGATTTTCTCCATATCTTTTGCTGTTGGTTTGGGATATTCGCGAGTAGAATCACATTTTTTAACTACTGTGTTTCCATTTTCAAAACATCTATTTCATGCAAAGTACATTGTGAGGCACTCAACGCTAGCAGTTGCGGCAGTGAAACTATTGATGTATTTTTGCTAATTCTCTGGCTTCTTTAATAATGATGTATTCAGTCCTTTGATATTGTCTTTGAAGCTTTTATTAGGACTTTGACCAACAGAACCTGTGCGTGCGTGAAAAGAGGCGAGCGCAGGGCTGGTGTCAGAGAGAGGCAGTTCCCGATACAAGATCCCCCGGTTCCTGTTACAGTTCTGCCAGTTTCTGTTACAGTTGGGGCCTGGTTCCTGAAATCAAGTTTCCTTCTACCCGGTTGCGGCTCCGTTCGAGCCCATCGGGAACCCCCAAACCCTGGAGCTCTCCGTTCAGCCGGGCCGCCCAAACTGCGACCTGTACTTCTTCCAAAGAGCCTCAGGGTTCTTCATCGTCACCTGAGTGTCTTGAACCAAGGAAGGCCCTGCAAAAAGTTAGCAGCCAGCTTTACTTTGCGTGTTTTTTTAGCCCTAGATCACGGCACTTTGAAGCGAAGGATGCGGTCGATGTTGAACTTTGGCGTCCGATCTCCCTCCGCGTTGCCCATCTCGCCAGCTTTGTCCACGACCTTCTGCATCGGTAACATTGCTCTCAACAGCCTCACCTACTTCAAGACCGCATTTCCAGAAGGCCTGAGAGGCAATTTCGCAGCAATACATGTACCAAGGTATGGTAACGAGCGCTTGAGACATCTGAAGGCCTCGTTGTGTAGGTAGAACATGACGCCGCCAATGTTGGCCTCAGACTTGTCCAGACATGCTCTGTTCCACCACACCAACAGCCATAAACCTATACTCGAGGCAGGCAGGTCCTTTCGGAAAGGCTGGCATCAGCAAAAGCTTAAGAGAAACACGTGCGCTGTGCGGCCACTTGGCAAAGTTCACGTTCTCCCAGACACGGTCATCGACATTCTGCTTCTTCTGCGCCTCGGCTCAAAGTGGGATCGCGAGAGGCCGGGGGCCTGACGGCCGGGCCGCCTTCTGGGGCCCACGCGCTGTACTGGTAGAAGGTCATCAGCTCGGGTTTCGTCGAAGCCACGCAGCTCCCACTGGGCTCGGGCACCTCGTGCTGCAATTGACTCTGGAGTCGGGTCGCTGAAACCCTGGCGTGCACGGATAGCGCCCATCCAGCCGGGGCAACAATCGAGCACTGCGGACGTCTTCCCACAAGCATCATACTCCTGGTCGATCCCTTCTCTTACCAGGTCTGGCTGCTCTGTGCCATACGCAATCACTTCACATCCCTGAGCCATCTGGCCCGTCGATCTGGCACAAGCAGTCCGACTCTACAAAGCTCCGCGCCCAGCCCAGGCGCCTCGTCCTTACCGCACTGCTTGACCTCAACGTGCTGCACCTCAGACAGCGTATCGGCGCGGGGACTCCAGGCACCAATCCCAGCGAGACAGGGCCGATGCATGCGAATCGGACTCGGGCCTAAGGGACACTTCCTCTAAAGACCCCCCAAACAGCATGCTAGCCCCACATCTCACCTTCTACACCCACCCCTATACGCTTTCACCCCCAACTCTCAACCCGCCTAACAAATCAACCCTTCCAAACCCGCAATCCACGAAGCACCTCCCCAAACAAATGCAATAATCCATAACACAATCCAAAGGACAACGCACCCACCAAGTGCCACACCGAAATCCCAAATGCAATCCAAGACACAACGCACCACCCAACACAACACCAAACCCCAAAGCACCAAACAAAAACCGAAAGCACCCCACACCTCACATCCTAGACCCCCTCTACCCTTTCACCCCTTTTCTCAACTCGCCTAAGAACTCCACCTTCCAAACACCAATACACCAAGCATCTCTCAAAACAAAAACGATAATCCACAACACACCCCAAAATCCAAACCACGTAAGCAGTCGCGAAGCCTCGCGAGACTACCGTCGCAGCGTCCAAAAGGGCTAAGGAGGTTCTTTCGGATTATGTTTGTGCTTTGGGGCGTTGTGGTGAGTTGGGAGATGCTTTATGTTTTGGTGTTTTGGAGGGCTGAGGTGTGGGGGAAGGAGGTTATTTTGATTTTGGCTTTGTGTTCGGGTTGTGTTATGGGTTTTGTTGTTGAGTTGGGCTGTGCTTTGTGTTTTGAGGGTGGATTTGTTAGGCGGGTTGAGAAATGAAGTGAAAGTGTAGGGTGGGGTCTTGGATGTGAGGTGAGGGGTCACCCATTGCTTGCTCAAACGCTGTCTTCCGCCCATGGCAGCTCTACTGCGCCGAGGGGCAGGCGGCAGTGTCGGCCTTTCGGAGATGGGGTGGTGGTGCAACTTCAGCGCCGGCGCTTATGTTGGAGAATGCTTTCGGCTTCCGGAACACGAAACCATTGCGCGCAGGGCATAGTGCACACACCGTCACCCCGCAGCTTGGAAGAGTGAACAAGACAAGATTACACTCGCAACGGAGCCTCACCGATGGCTGCGAGGTGTCCACGGCAGGGGTCCAGTAAGTGGAGCAAAAGCCACCTGGCTTTTCGGCACGGGTAGCGGATAGCGATTGTAACCCTTCCTTGATTTGCAGTCGCATGTTTAGAATGCTGTATCAAGAGAAATTTTCTCAGAAACAACTTGCTCCGGAACGCATGCTTTGTTACCGCAAACAGATCATCCAAGCCCAATAAAACCTCCATTGACCTGGAATACTACCCAATCGTGAACAACCATGCAACCAAGACAATCAAATAATGCTGTACCCTCCATCTTTCTCGGCCGAAATGCTGTAGTGAACAGGCTCCTGCCCCGTGTGGAACTGCGCAGACTTGAGGTAGCAGCCTCTTTGCGTGAGTGATCCGTGCCGTCGGTTCCAAACTGCAACGAACATGGAGAGGCATCACGCACATCAAGAGCGCCAACGGCTTGCTGCTGTTGCATGCTGCAGACGAAAGATAGGAATTTGGAGCACAATAGTGTGGTCGGAGGGTACAAGACACGCTTTCCTTGTCTCTGTCTTTCATTCTGCAGGGCTTGGGGACGGCTGAAGCAGCCCGCGTTCGCAGCACTCCCGCCCACCCTCTGTAAGGCTGCGAAGACTCTGATCCCGCACTTTCCATTCAGTCCCTGGTTTGCGAAAACAGTCTCCGGCTGCCTGCCCTCAGAAGCATCTGGCGTCCTGTCCTCACATGAGAAGATCGGCCTTTTGGGATGCAGTAGCCTTCAAGTTGAGGTCTTCGGCTTTGGAAGAGTCTGTCGCCAGACCCGCGCCTCGTGCGCCCCGCTCCGCCCCGCTCCCCTTTTTGTTATGGAAGAGCCAGGTCTCTCTCTCTCTCTCTCTCTCTCTCTCTCTCTCCCGGGCATGGGGAAGGCTCTCTCTCTCTCTCTCTCTCTCTCTCTCTCTCTCTC